GCGACAGAGTGAGACTCCAACTCAAAAAAAAAAAAAAAAACAGAAAATATCTCTAAGACTTGTTAAGTGGGAAGCAAGGAACCTAAATACCACATGTGCTCACTCCTAAGCGGGCCCTAACCCTGAGCGGGCGAGCACAAAGGCAGACACTGCTGAAGAAGAGCAAGGGGCTGAGGGTACATGACCACCCATGGGTATCAGGCCATTACCAGGAAAGAGAGGGCCCACTGGAAGCCTGAGCCTCCCCTGCATGCAACATGTCACAATCCTACACGTGACTCACACTCTAAAGTAGAAACGAAGGAAAGAAGGAGGGAGGGAGGGAAGGAAGGAAGAAAAGCAAGGACAAGGCTTGTGAAATGCACCTTTCTAAGTTGCATTTTTGAGTTGGAGTCTCACTCTGTCAAAGGATAAAGGGTTTTTTATTCTTTCCTGCCCATGTCACAGTGTGGCTGTGAAACGTACAAGAAATTCATGGGACAAGTAAATGGGGCCCTGGCATTGGAGCTCAGTCTAGTGAATGCTATATCCACCAGAAAGATCCTTCTAGTATTCCTGATGTCTGATTTTTAGGAGTATTGTCCCAAGGGGGAAAATCAAGCTCTAAACAGAGAAAAGGCATGATGCACAAAGGATAGCCTCACATTAAACTCAACAAAAACTGGAAGTCCAGAAGCAGGGGACCAGCCTAGTCAACGCAGTGCAACACTTTCATCCACTAGTAATGATGGCTTAGCAGATTACGTAGCAACATGGAAAAATCTTTAGGATGGTAAGTGAAAAAGAAAGGTCTAAAATTACCCATATAGTACAATTACAGACATGAAGACACATGTTATCGTGTGTGGTGGAGAGACTTAAGGAGCCCTCATAATGCCCACCTCCTGGTGTTCATGTCCTCCTGTGATCCCATTGAGTGCAGTGGAGCCTGGGATTTGCTGCCAACCAACAGAATATGGCCCAGGTAACAGATGTACAGGACTATGTGCACACGGTTACATGACTGTTATGTAAGACTGCTGGAGTTTTCCCAGCCATGTTGGTGAATCTTGCATGATCAGGACCTGTGGGAGGCCTCTAAGAGCTGAGGTGGCCTCCTGCCAACAGCCAGGAAGCCCTCAGTCCGACAGCCACAAGGAACTGAGTGTGCTTAGAAGTGGGTCCTTTGCAGTCAAGTCCCAGATGAGTTCGCAGCCCAGCTGGCAGCCTGAGTGAAGCCTTGTGAGACACTGAGCAGAGAAGCCAGCTAAGCTATGCCCACACTACTCCTGACCCACCAGAACTTTAAGCTTGGCTTAAGCCACTAAGAATGTGGGATCATTACACAGCAACAGACAATAACCCACCCTTAGGAAAATACACCAGATGGAAGAAAGTATATCAAAGTGCTAACAGTGGTTGTGTTTGGGTGTTTGGACTACAGTATTTTTTTAAATTTTCTAGATCCCAAACAGCCTCCAGTAGTTTGTAATACTTACATAATGATAAAAGGAGACACTGGATGCGAAAATGTTTCCCAAGTCTGAGCCCTCCACACACCCCGGTCCTGGCCCCCCACCCTGTGAGAGTTGCAGAGACAGAGCCTCCTGGCTGCTCTACCTCCAGTGGAGTCCATGTCCTCCTCAAACATTTTCTCTGTCTCGGCCAGGTGCAGCTCGGTGAATAGCTGAGGCCCATGCTGGACGTTGAGCACCTGGTTGAGGGAGATGGATGGTGTCAGGGAGCTAAGAGCCTCCTTGTTGTTCTGGAATCCACCTGGGGTGATCGGCTGGAACAAATATAACAAGAGGTTATATTTGGGACTAAGAGGTTTAATTTCCCAAGTCAAACATTTTACAGTACATCTTATTTAAAGAGAAACTCTGAGAAAGAACAAAGTAAGTCATGCTGTGATGTTACTAATTGATGGAAACGAGTAAGTTTTAACTACTTTTAAATTGTTTCTCCTGACTTTGAGGAGTCATCCATAGTTCCCCTTTTACAAATGCCACAACTGAGGCTCACTGAGGTTAGAGGACACAGCCTAAGTCCTACCTTACACCAAACACGACTTTGATTTGAAACTGTCCTGTTTCAGACCTTTAGTGAATCTGGTCCTGACCAGCCCAGGTGTCCACCCCCCCGT